TTCAAATAGTGATGTATGCTCTAAATAGTAAAAAGGTGTATTCTTTTCTAAGTTTCAATAGTAGGCTAATTAGATGCTATTTGCAATAAATGTAAATAGTGTTAAATGCTATTAATACTTAATGGAAACAGTGACACATTTGTACCTCAGTATATCGTATATTATAAAACACTGTGCAATAATAACAACTTATTATGTGTATATGATTACATTTATCAAAATCATAAATGGATGCTCCCTTATTAGAACTTGACTTGTCCCTATTCTGAAAGCCAACCCCTACACCCAGAGGCGTCATGCCCATTCAAAGTGGGGGCACGTGCTCCCTCAGATTTTTGAGCCATGTGGATTTTGAATGCAGCTTCCAAAAGACAAAAAAATTGCAGATTCATATTTCCAACATTTAATACAATCACATCAGCGTGATTAACGTTCAGTGTGTCATATCATAAGCTGCTAAATGCTAATCTTCTTTTGCTTGCTGGCGCTGAGCCAGATACAGACGCGTTTTTACAGCACTGCGAATTATAACCAATCACACAGGATGCTGTTGAGCTTATGAATGCAATGACCAATCAGAGGTGTTCAGATGAGTCATCGCTAAAATGCCGGTGTTTTCTTCACTCGCTCGCTGACTGAATACCTCTTCTTGGCGAATTCTCTCGTCAGAAACAACAAAGTGCAAACATGTGTACGAATCTGTAAGATATTAATTTCATAGTGTAAACCGCTTCAGTGATTTTAATGGGAGTTTTTGAGAGTGATTGAAATAGACTGTCAGTGAAAATGTTCTTTGATAATGTAAATGTTCTCTTTCTGTACAATTAAAGTGTTATGATTAGTAGCCTAACTTTCAATGTTAAATTCACATTAAATATAAAGTCAGTCGTATTAAAAATATGTTATGGCATGACACCCATATCTGTTAATTAAGAAAACAGACGGGTTTTTATGCATAGTTAATAGATTTCATTATTAGGTTACTTTGACCATCGGCCACTATAGATCAACATAATCTATAAAGGTGAGAATCAAGATATTTCATGATATAGTTAATGCGTTTGGGAGTGTTTCGAATAAACAGGAAAAAATAAATAAAACATAAGTGCTGTTGTGGCTCCTGTGTGTCACATGACGAACCCTTGATGGAACACACACCTCAATTGGGACTATTAAGCAATAGAATCTGCTCAGGTTCATTAATGCCTTCTACACAAGTCTTTGAGCAGATCAAGCATTCTGTAGATGTGAGTTGACAGTAATTGATTCCAGCACTATGCAGAGAGCAATGCCTTTGGGCTGTTATCAATTCTCTGCAATCACCATTTCTCTGTTGAAGGTTAGCAAAGCTACGTTTTGCTAAAGACCACAATTCCATCACTCTAATAATGACTACACTGAATTATTGAGCACATTATCACTTTTAAGATAACGAAACAGGAGATATCTCAAGAGCCAAGAACACAGACGAGGTTTCTTCCAGCTCATCAGCTAATGATCGCTGCCAGAAGAATTAAAGGGTGAATTTCTCAGCCACAAAACCATGACATCATGGTGCATTTTTACATGCAAAACACACTGGATGCATTTTGTAGCATACAATCTTGACACCTCAAAGGGAAATCAATAAAGCCATGCTCAAAATCCAAGTCAACTGTGATGGGGATGGAGTGATGACTCAAATGTGGCACAAAGTTAAAGAGAAAGATGAATAGAGAACAAAATATAATACCAAATGAAATAAAGACATACAAAGATGAATGTTAAACATGGTCAAAAGGGTACAGACTACCGAGTATGTCTGGATATAATAATAACGCCTGAGCAGTATTTTTGTTTGAAATATTGTCAAGAATAGGGTTTCCACAGGTGTGTTTGATCTTCAAATGCACTGGTATTTGTAGCAGTGTTATATAACAAATCCCTCAGCGCTAAAGACAGAAACCTACAGTATTAGTTTAGAGAGCTGGATATAAATGAAGGATTGTGAAGCAATAACATCAGGATGACAACTAAACCAGGGCTCTGATCCACTGAAGTTTTATACTTCAACCCTGCAGTTTACACACACTGTCATCTGCACACTCACACAGACACTTTCAAGCATAAAAAATGATCTACCAGACAAACACAGTTTCATATGTTCTTCTGAAGCACACATGATAAAAGACCTAATTACTAGGACAATTACTGTAATAACAGATGTGACAGATAACAGATGAATGCAAGAACATTCAGCAGTATGATACAAATTGATTTTGTCTGCTGTTTATCAATGGTCGTATCAGCTCTTTGCTCTGGCGTAATAAGGATAATAAGTGTGGAACGTCAGTGCAACATGAAAAATGTAAATAAAACATTCTATTGTTTAAAACATCTGTAATACATTTCCACCGTTTAATTTTCTTGTTTGTGATAAGTGGTGAAAATCAAGATGAAAAAAAAAAGCCCTGATTCAGACTTAGGTTTGTTTCATTGTCTATTCCCTGACAGAATGAAACTATGGGCCTTGATTTTTACCCTTAAGTAACATACCAAACAGACTTCAACAAATCCGAACAACAATAACTTTCAAAGCCCCCTAAGCTTGTCGTCTGGCCTGCACAATTAATATGGTCTGTTCTTGGTTATTCTTCTTGATCATAAAACATTAGAGGTCTTTATATTTTGACCTATATTTGTAGATACTGTAAACCTACAGGATGTTTGGAGCACCATATGACAGAAATGTCATATTTTTGGTTTGTTTACACTACAGTTTGTGGATAGTAAGATTTAAAAATATATATATATTTTTTTTTCACATGTAAAAACACTCTCAAAACAGTCTCTTATGCTCAACAAGGCTGCACTTTTGATCAAAAATGCGTTTTAAAATAAATATTTTCTTTTTTTTTTACATTGTAAAACATTTATTATTATTATCAGTGTAAAAACAGCTTTATTGATTAATATTATTGTGGCATCCATGATACATTTTTCCAGTGTTCTTCGAAAAATCTTTTGTAACATTTTAAATGTTCTTACTCTCATTTTTAATCAATTTAATGCATTCTTGCTGAATGAAAGTAAGTTCAAATAAAAAAAAAATAACACTGACCCCTTCTTCTTCTTCTTCTGCTTCTTATTATTATTATTATTTTGTTTTGTTTTATCATTTTCAAACTTCCATGTTTGCATGTTCCAATCAAGATGTCTGTTAATGTACTACAGGTGGGGATTATTCAGTGACCCTGTCTGCAGGTTACACAGATAAGCTAGCAGGTGGCCAAAAGTAACTGTCATTGTATTGTAAGTGAGTCATTGAATCATTTACCCAACTGATTTGTTAAAACTGTACAGTTTTGATTAAAAAAAAAAAAAAATCCCGCGGCACACCACTAAGTGAAATATAGGAAAAAAACAAAGATAGAAAGGGAAAACTTTTTTTTTTCTCAATAATTAAACACTGCGTTGTCAGAGTTGGTATTGTGGAGTTATTAGACACTTGCACTTAACATTTTATGAAAATCAAGCTAAAATGGAATTAACAAGATTTTTGACCAGCGAATGACGTAGATCTGCGTTTTGTCTGTCATTAGCAAGTGCATCGCATTATGTACTTACATGTTATAAGATTTATTGTAGCAATATGGGCGCTTAGTTTTTCTTACTGTTTAATACACTTGGCCAAAATCTCATGATATAGCCTAAACGATGAAGCGCTATATGCACAGGATATTTAAAACGTACAAAACTATATTGGCTACAGCTAGACAGCAAATGCTAAGACTCTTCTCCGCTCTTCAAACACAAAAAAACATCAGCCTTTATAGACATAGCGTTTGAGTAAAGAAAACGATGTACTTATTCAAACATCAGTTCTTTATTTACCCTTGCATAGCGAACAAGTGGATATCTGTCTCCAGTTTGTGCGCGACCCTTCATTCTTAATGGAGGCGGGGTGAAGATATGAAGTTTCGCTGACAGTTTGAGGATCCATCCAATGGCTTTACCAGGTTTAGTCACAAGCTCTTTTGAATACTTTTCATTGGTTAAATATTTGTAAAATAGTGACGGGAAGTCCGGTTCTTTTCCGCGAACCGGTTCTTTCGGACAGTTCGTTTCAATAAACCGGTTCAAAAAACCGGTTCATCTGTTAAAAACCCTCAAACAGACATAAGGAAGACCAATAGGATTGATTTAAAATAATAATAACAAAATGTAATAGAGATATGAAGCTTGGATAATTTTCCACGGCACACCTGACTAGGGTATGGCGACTGCCATACTCTGCCATACGGAAACGCTGCCCCTGTGTCATCACCACCTCGAAATAAATCTTGAGATAGTCTTCCCAAGTAATGCAGCAGGAACCATTTTGAGGCTGATTTTGAAGGAGCCTTTGAAATAGGACAGCCGTCATTGCGCCACTGCATTCAGTCTTGGACTGCAACCTTCAAAGGATGCAGCCCCAAAATTGGGACATAACTATTGTCTAGTTTAAATACAGTATTTAGAACATGTTATTTATAAAAATTCAGATTAACTGAATTCTGGAGAACAAAATGTTTTGCCTATTGTCCTCTATTCATTAGTACTTTGCAAATGAGGTTTCTATTACCCTCAGCCTCAGATGTTATGGTCTTCATATGAATTGAGTCATGAAATCACTACATCTGCTAATCTGAGCCCATTCATTGTGTGGTTAAATGAGTCATGTTTATCAGTATTCATATCCTTTTTGTATATGCTTAAGCAAGTCTGTGCAAGTGTGTCAGAGTCACAATACATGTTACATCCACTTCAAACTATCATTAGATTAACAATACAGTCAGGATGTAATACAATCATAGAAAACAAACAGGAAAAAAACACTCTTATTTTTATTCAATGTGCATTCATTCCTCTCTCTATTTTGATTAGCTTACCCTAAAGAAATTGCATAATCATAATCACATAGTAAAAAAATAAATGACACATCATCTACGGGACATACTGTAGGTTCTGTGGTATGTACATTGCCTTAGAGCATTAGAGTGATTTACAAGTCAGGCAATAGTCTCCAGGTTTCACAGCGAATGTTAGGTTCTAGGGGTTTTAATAGTAATCATAATTGACATTAGCCCCGTGTCTGTAGGAACTGGGGTCCTGTTGGCTCATAGGTGCATTCTCATCATGATGATGCTGCCGGCCCTGGTCATTTGATCTGGCCTGGTCCATCCAATAGGAGAGATCAGTCTCCAGTCTCTGGAAATACATAATGGTGAAATGAGACAACGGATCATGTCAGGAGTTCAGTTTCAGTCTCAGGGGGAAAAATGGACAGGTTTTGATGAAAGAAATTGAAAATAAACAAATAACCAAAATGAGAGTGTTAAAGTGATAGTTCACCTAAAAATGAGAATTCATTTTTCATTCTTTCATCATTTACTCATCAAACCCAAATGAAGAAATGTAAGTACTGGTAATTACTGTATATGTACTATAATATACTGTATGTAATGTAACTGGTAATTTATTTTTCCATTCATTTGCAAAGAATATGGACTGAAGCTTCAAATAGAACGTCTCGGGTTACTTATGTAACCATGGTTCCCTGAGGGGAACGAGACACTGCGTCCTCTAGGGGTCGCTATGGGGAACGCCTCGTCGTGACCCGTGTCTGAAGCCTACATTGAAAAAACACCAACTTGTTTGGCCGGCGACAGCCATGACGTCACTACCGGCGCGATGAATAATGAATTGAATTTAAATATTTTAAAATATAAATTATTTTTCTTTCTTTTTTTATCAAGCTGAAACCATGAGTCACTGTTACACATGCATTGAAACACTTTAAAGCTGAGTTAAAAGTCTCACATCTTACACAGTTTCAGGCCTTTACGTTTTATGTCATAAAATCCTATTTACAAGGCTTGTAAGTTCCCCCATTAACTAATGAAGCGACTTTGTAATGTGGTGTCTGAAAGCCCAACAATGGTAGAGAAATCTTTAACTGACATACCTGAGGGTGAGCAGAGAGACAGGATGCTTATGAGAAGGATGGCTTGAACACAGAGGCTGTGGAGTGACAAATCTGGACAGGTAATAAATACATCACAATAAAGCACAAGTAATCCACACGACTCCAGACCATCAATTAACGGCTTGGGAAGTGAAAAGTTGTTTATGTTTATAAGAAACAAATCCATAATTAAGCCATGTTAACTTTACACCTTCGCTTCTAGCCAAAATATCAGCTAATAATCTATAATAATGCTTCCTCCAGTGAAAAAGTCCACCACCTGTTGTCCTCTCACATCAAAATCCACAGATATATGGATGGATGCGTTTATTATAAACACACAGCTTTTCACTTCACAAGATGTTAACTAATAGATTGTTAATTGATACATTTTCAGGCTTTTTTAACTATTGTAAATGGACTGAACTTTATTGTAAAATGTTACCAACAAAATCAAATAATATCCAAACAAACCAAATAAAGTTAAAATTAAAAAGAGAATCACTGAAACATTTGCTTTTATGATATGTGTTTATATTTCTTTGTATTTTCTAAAAGCTTCCAAACATGATAGTGTGATTTTGTTACAGTCAAACCGTGTTCCTGCATGTACTGTACTTGTCCCGAGGGGGATGACCCTCATTCAGAGGTCTTTTCTGCACCTGGACTGCATTCCCACTGATAACAGCACACCTGCGTGCTCAGTTGTGCTGCTCAACAATAGTTATATGGCCTTCTACCATACCTGTGTGTAGCATACATTTATATTTTATTTATTTTGTAGCAAGTACAAATCCAGAGTATGCATTTATTTTAAAGAAGAATCAGGAGCAAGTATTTTGTCTATAAAAGAGTTTGTGAGCAAGATACTTTTACTGGATTTTGGATGCCATTACATAAGGGGTTTTATGTAATGGCATAACCCCCCCCCCCAAAACAAATAAAATGAACTTTTCTCAGGGTATCTTGCCCTGGCTCAAATCAAGTTACGCTAAATAATAAAGACTGTTTGTCTTCTTTTCCAAGAGATGTGCCATAATGAAAGGGGCAAATGGTCTCCACAACACAGACTCCAACTCAGACGGCATTATTCTTCTGGAGCAGGAGGGTCGTAACCCAGGCGGCTGGCGGAAGGGAAGTGAGCCCAGAAGGTTCTGGCCAATTCCTCAATCTTGTCATAGCCAGCGTGAGAACGCAACTCTTCAATCCAGGCGAAAAAGTCTGAAGATGTCAGCGCCCAGTTAGGCACACTCCTTTTTTCCCTTGATTCAGCTATAAGCCAAGCAGAAAGGCAAAAAAGAGGTCAACACGAGAGATCCGAGAACAGATCCTTATACAGAAAATCAATGTTCAGTTCTAAATCATACAGTTTAGCATCAGGTACAATGGGTAAAAAGGTCTTCCAAATTTAAAAAAAGTAACTAATTAGAATTCTTAGAATTATCACACATAAAAAAAATAATTTAATATTTTTTTTCTTAAAAGAAATAACTTTTAGATTTTTAGTTTTGTTTAATATGATTAAATCGTTAGACTCAGCAACTATGGAATAAAAAGAGATTATATAACTAATAATCCCCCCCCCCCATCATCATATTTTAGACAATTGTAGAACCCCATTGCACAAGTGAAACCATTTATAAAGAGAATTTAAAACTCACCTTGGTTTTCCACTGCCTCTGTAAGGAAAATAAATAGAAGGACATTTAATATATAATTGAATAAATATAAAAATCTAGCGTAGCGTTAGTTCTGGCAGGTTACATTAGTCAAGCTCGCATTGATTTAATGCCAAGGATATCACATTATTCATAAGCTTCCATTCATCTGTTATCCTTGTACATTACAGATTCTGTATTCGCAGTGGCTGACTGTTAAACTTGCGCATGCACACACAGATGTGTGCGCGCACACACACAGGTTTAAAAAAAGCAGAGCTGTCTGTTTCTGTAAGCAGTCCCGTGTTTGAGAGGAACAGTTGATCTATTGTCTGTTCTCAATGTTCTGCCAGTTTTCTTTCAGAAGTTTCAGCATGTTTGACAAAGCCAGAACATTTCAGCTAAAAAGTGCCTTAAATCTGGTAGCCTTTAGCTGTTTTTACATTATTTCTGCCATCTTTGCAATTCTTATCTAGTTCACAAGAGCTATAAGAAGAATCCTTGAACTGAATGTAACAGCTCTTCAGAGTGAAAACAAAATTTCAGTAACACTTTCTATGAAGCCTGTTTATAATGCATTATAAGAGTATTTTAATGCATTATAATGCATGCATAATGCCTTACAAAAACTTATATTGTATCATCTCATGATAAATTATAGCAACACTTACCAGTATCCCACCTCAACAGTAGCAAAAGTTTAATCACAAACACAGTAAGTACCTAACAATTCATTATTTTTGACACAAATACATAAAGACACCATAGCTACTTAATATAAAGTGTGGCTGAATTATTTTATTGTAATATCAACAAAACCATATTGCGTTGTTTAGATGCAAAAGGGTTGTCAGTAATCTTAAACTAGCTCAAACTGAAATTAATATTAGCCTTATAGAAAACACTCAAATATGAACAACCATCTTGTGCAGATCTTTAACAAGATCAAGTTATGAGAAAACACCAAGATATGAGAATTACATTATAATGTCTTAAGAATACCCATAAAATACATTATAAATGCAGGCTTCACAGAAATTATTACCAAAATATCAGTGCACACTGAAACATACAGTGTGAGTAATGGTGAAGATGTATAAAAAATGTCAAAAGAAATTTGCATACACTATTATTCAAACGTTTGGGGTCAATTAGAATTTTTAAGAAAATAAATATAAACTTTTATTCAGCAAGAATGCATTAAATTGATCAAAAGTGACAATAAAGACTTTTACATTGCTAGAAAAAATTATTTATAAAATAAATGTTATTTTGAACTTTCTATTTATCCGCGAATGCTGAAAAATTAGTGTCATACTTTCCTCAAAAATATTAAGCAGTTTTAAAAATATGAACTATTTCAACATTGATAATAGTAAGAAATGTTTCTTGAACACCAAATCAACCCATTACAATTATTTCTGAATGACCAAGTGACACTGAAGACTGGAGTAATGGCTGATGAAAATTGAGCTATATAAATTGTAACATTTCACAGTATTGCTGTTTCACTTAAATAAAAAAGTCACACTGACCCCAAACTTTAAAAGGTGATGTATACATCCCCAAATTGTATATGTAGCTTTTCCCCAGCTTTTCTTACCTGAGAGACAGAGCAGTCCAAGCCAAACCAAACACAGGAAGAGTGAGAAACACAGACGAAACATGGTCACCCACTGAAAGTAATATAGCAACAGACTAAATTTAAGGCTCTACAGTCATTTTTCTACCCATTTTCAAACTTCAAAGAGATTCAAACATAAAACATTTTGAAAGAAAAAAAAACTTGTATTAAAGTAACCACAGAAATGAATCGTGCATTATTTGTCTGCCTGAGATTACCTGCAGCAGATGTTCCTGGAGACTGGTGTGTCTTGGTGCCCAGTCCTTTAAGTAGAACACCAAGTCTGAGCTGGAACAGTGTTGTTTACTTTTCACATGGACCTTTCATGTCATACCCTTCATTTCTTTGCTCGTTTACTCTATACCTTTTTGTTTGCAGGAGATTCTCACACTTCTCTCCACAGCTGAAAGGATCCCTTGTTAAAGTAGAGGCCGTACTGTCTAAGAATTCACAGACTGAAGAGATCTCAGAGAAAACGTTCTCAGGGTTTCAACCTCTCTTTTTTAGAATATAACGTTGTCTGTATGTGTGTCAGTTTCAAAGAAACATTTCATGTGGAAATATCTCAAACTAACACACTGTAACACATTCCAGGACAGATTTGTGTACATATCTGTTGTAAAAGAAGTTTTGTGTTGCACATAAAAAGTCTACTGAAAAGTAGATTTTAAATGTACGAAAAAGTAATTCTCTTAAACTAATATGTCCCTTTAGGTCACAAAAGCACTTACAGAAAAAAACAGGGCCGATATTTTGATCAAGAAATGTTTTCTATACTGTAGCTGTGTTTGTGTTTCGTAATATTCTCATTTTATTATTTTCTGTGAGGTTAGTAGTCAAACATTTGTCAACTGAAACTGGAAAATTTTACAGAATTAGATTCAAACCATATATATATATATACAGTATATTAGGTCCATATATATTTGGACACTGGCACAATTTTCATAATTTTGACTCTGTATGCCACCAGAATAGATTTAAAATAAAACAAACAAGATTAAATTGAAGCTTTAATTCAATGAGTTGAACAAAAATATAACATAAAATGCTTAGGAATTACAACCATTTTTTATACACAGTCCCTCATTTTCAGGGGCTCAAATGTAATTGGACAAATAAATATAATCATAAATAAAATGATCATTTTTAATATTTTATTGGAAATCCTTTGCAGGCAATGACTGCATAGTCGGAGCATGTGTAAGGCTGGAGATCATAAACAACAAAGCGCAGATGTACGTACAATGTAAGTAAGAGATTCATTTCACAGTGTGTACAGCTTCAGTGATTATAAGATAGTTTTGTTTTTTTGAGAGTGCTTAAACTCCTCATAGATCAATGTTAGTGATAATGTTGAATATGACTAGACAGTGTCGATTGCGGCATTAAATTAAAATCTGCTCATGTTGCACCGTATTTCATTTTAGGCGTTTTTACAGTGGTGCGCATTTTAACCAATCACACACAATTCTGTTAAGCTTAGGAATGCAATGGCCAATCAGAAGCGTTCAGATGAGTCATCGTTCAAACTCATCAGTTTTGTTGAGTGCGCGCGCGTTCGCTGACTGAATACCGGACTCTTGCGAATTCTCTCATAATAAACAACAAAGCGCAGATGTACGTACAATGTAAGTAAGAGATTCATTTCACAGTGTGTACAGCTTCAGTGATTATAAGATAGTTTTGTTTTTTTGAGAGTGCTTAAACTCCTCATAGATCAATGTTAGTGATAATGCCACTTTCTATATATAATTTATTCGCTGTTTGAATAACCGAGGAAAGGAAACGTTATATAATTATACATTTCTAACGTTTTTATTAAATTATTATAACGATAGTTTTGTTTGTTTTTTGAGAGTGCTTAAACTCGCCATAGATCAATGTTAGTGATAATGCCACTTTTCTATATATAATTTATTCGCTGTTTGAATAACCGTGGAAAGGATCTAGTTTTGTCTTCAGCAAGTGAAATGCATGCTCAATCGGGCTGAAATCAGGAGATTGACTTGGCCATTTTAGAATATTCCACTTTTTACCTTCAAAAACTCCTGGGTTGCTTTTGCAGTATGTTTTGGGTCATCGTACATTTGAATCTCGGCAAAGAGTATATTCCTATACACTTCTGAATTCACCCGGCTGCTTCTGTCCTCTGTCACATCATCACTAAACAGCAGTAACCCAGTGCCACTGGAAGCCATGCATGCTCATGCCATCACACTGCTCCACCGTTTCACAGATGATGTTGTAGTCGTTGGATCATGAGCT